AAGATTGCCAATGTTGGTGTTTGTCTCTTTCTCAAATGATAGGTTATGCTCTATGATCCTTGTTTCTTCACTTCTACTTCAATGGTGAACAAGTGGATGTCATGCATCCTATCTAGCATCTAACTTGTTCTTTGGCCAATTTGCTTTCTTTTCAAGCTTCCATGTGACCCTCCTTGGAAGCTGAGGCAAAGCTTGAAGCTGGCAACAAAGCTCAAGACCAACTCTTTGTGGTCCTATGACAAGACATCAAGCATCTGGACTCAATTATTCTGTAACACCAACATCTGATGACTTCCAAAAGCTCAGTTCACATAGTGATTCTTGTGACAACATCTTAGTCTTTATCTTCAGAGAAAAAAGTAGTCAAGTTCAAGCCATGGATTGGTTCCATCTAAATTGTAAGAATGATAGTGAATCAAGTTCCCCTTCCATTTCTATTTCCATTTAGTAATACAAGTACTTTAGTGATGGTTAATTAGGTGTTCAACTAATTAAGAAAATATTAATATTGTGTAAGCTTCATCTGAATTAGGATAATTAACTTGACTTGAAAGACAGATTAATTTGGTATGAAGAATAGAACCATGGTCTTCAACCTGACCATGCTCAATGATTGATCTAATTGCTATTGAAGGCCCTAAGATAGCTAGCATTCAACTCCTAGATTTAGGCCTAATAGTTCTCTCATGATTGAGATTGTCCTAACCCAAATAGGGACACCCTATTTGGAGATGTTCTGAATCAAGAATAACATTAATTTGATTAATATGTTATATATCTAAATATATATATATATTCATTCTTCAGTATCATTTTATCAGCATATAAAGCTTACTTGATCACAAAAATGGTTCAATTTACTTACTTTGGTATAATTAAGTCAATTAGTTTGAATCAAATATGAAAAAGTAAAGAATTGGATTTCAGTTACAGCTGAATATTATTAAATATAGGTTGCTATGTATTGCATTTATATAGTATCAGTAAACTATATTATGTTCTAAAAATCAACTAGAAAACTAAACTAATCCAATCCGCTTCGGTTTAAATTAATCTGAATTCAGTTTGTGCCGTGTCAAATTCGGAAAATCGAACAAGTTCGCTTTGTTTCGGAATTTTCTACAAAACAACACTAAACTTAACCTTGTGCTCAACAAAGCAGCAAATGATCATGAGACTGTTTATCATCAATCTTAAAGCTGTAGAAAACACATCTGGATCTTAAATTGAGTACAAAAAAGTGGTCTATTACCAAGCTTTTCGATTAAATAGACTCAGGAAGAAGCCAATTAGGGATGGATTTATGATATTTCAGAAGCATCTAAATGGTGAATGTGTGGTTATGTCAATGGAGCTTTCACATGAATCATGCAGTTTGATAGGTGCAACTCCTGAAGCATGCATGCATGCATGTGTAGTAGTTCGTGTGTCATTTTCTCTATCAGCAATGCACTGTTGAATCATGTTAGTGACTGTAGCAGCAGATGGATTGCCCGAATGGCATCTGCCTTAGCTTTTTCCATTTTCTTCTTTCTTTGTTTCGGTGAAGAAGCTACCGGTTTTGCTCTCGAAATCGCGGTATTATACCCTTATTTGTTAGGCCAGATTCTATGCAGCTTTCTGTTCTCCAGATCTTCTGCAATGTTGTGCAAACAATAAAATGTTGAGAGATTTTCCACTGTTGATGTACACTTTTCAGACTTCTATTTTGAATTAACCTTATTCTCATAACATCATGATTCCTAGGTTGGATCATTTTTACAATGTATTCATGCAAACATTTATATACACCAGAAGTAAGAAAGTTGCATTCATCCCTGCCTATGACATTTCTACCTTATTAGATTCTTGCAGAGGAGTAGACTCACTAGAATGCTCTTAAAGTCCATTCAATTCCCTGATCCAATCTTGATCATTTAGTGTTAGTTGGTTCCTTGTTTGTAGGTCAAAGTGAAAGCTACTGGTTGATAGCTACACATCACCCATGTATTTGCAACATAGAGAGAGAGAGAGAGAGAGAGACAGAGAGAGTCATGTTGAGCATATAAATGATCTTAGTTAGACATATTTCTTGGCTCAATTTTATAGAAAATTTTACTAAAGTGCATCTTCGCGATAAATTCTATCGATTATGCTTATCGGGATAAGCATGTCATGAAGTCAGAAACACAAGGAAGCTTTCAAACACAAAGTCCATGGTGGTATAGCTAGTTGTTGGCTGGATGACAGTAACACAAGACAGAAGGCCCTGATGGATTATGGTTGTCAAACAATGGAAAACATGAACAACAAAGTGGAGTCTGGGAAGTGGCAATGCATGGGATACAGCAGAAACCCAGAGAGGTCCATAGCTGTCTTGGAAGTAGGGTTTTCTGAACACCTTGAGAATGCCATCAAATAGTTCAAGCTGATGCTTCATTTAGTGAGATAGCTTTCGGAAGAAGGGAAATGATCTAACAGATTGACAACCAGTAAATGAAAGGTCAAGAGCTATTGAAGCAACAGACCTTCCCAATTTCTTCTTATATCAGGAGCTAAGAACAAGGTTTCAGGTTTCAGCTTTAGTAAGTCATTTTTGTGTCATAGACTTGAATATCTTATGAAAATGACTTGCATGAAGATATGATGCACTGATCAGAATAATATCTTATATCCAATCAAAGATAGTGCTATCTATATAGAGGTCAAAACATAGGCTCTCAGTGTCCAATTATGATAATAAGAAACTATAAGAACATAAAAGAAAAAGGGAGGATGACAGAGTCAAGGTTATCAGATGTGGAAGAATTATTGATCAGACACTGTAAATTACCCAAAACTGAGTGGAATTTTCAGGTTGGTAATTGACTTTTGATGTATAATAATTGCTCATATACATCTACAGTAAGACAAACAAGAACCTATGAGGAAATTTAGAACATTTCCCTAGCAAACCTAGTCAGGTGTACTTTATTTGATTTTTTTCCTTTCTTTTTTCTTGCTATGGATGAGAAGAGTAAGTAAGGAGTAAAGGATTGAATTGTTCAACCAAATCTTGAAGCATTCAATGGAATCATCAAGTTTAAGGTTTTATTCTAATGTTGTCAATAGATAAGGTTGTCTTTTCCAAAATTGACAGGACATGCTATCAAACCAGTTTCACTGTTTCACTGTTAACACAAGAACAATATTCTAATCGAGATTAGACTTGAGCAATGCTAATCTGAGTCAAAAGACATAAAACTTGAAATCTTCTTCAAGATCTCACAGTACAAATAACACACTATAGTTAGATCCAGGAAACAATCTTAACATATCCAGCAAATAGATCGGAGAAAAACCGTAAAAAGGATTATATGAATGTTGTCGATCAAAAGTGATAGTAAAGAAAACTATTACACTTGTTCTAAGGAAAATCTTAAGCAAAGAAATATAAAAGTTAAACAAATAATTTTTCTACAAAAAATGCAAATCACTGTATATTCAGGAGAGGAAGGCATATCTTTCTGTGTGTTTTGATGGCACAAAATTCTATTGACAGAACTTACTTTGAAGAAAAAAATAAATCTCATCATTTACTTTAATAGATGAGAATAATATACTATACAAGATGTGCAGTTTAAGTGTTCTTAGTGGTTTCTTTAGCCTGATAAAAGAATTTACCCTTCCAGTCATCACTAGTATTACATTTTGTAGAAATTTTCCACTTAATATTTTAAAATCAGTGAAAGTAAATATCTGATTAGATTTTATTTCAGAATCTTAAGTGTTTAATTTTGAAACACTTAAAATCATATATAAAGAGCAGCAATATGATATATGTATATATATATATATATATATATATATATATATATATATATATATATATATATATATATATATATATATGTATGTATATATGTATAAGCCAATTGTTTATAAAGGTTTCTTGATTATTTTCATAAATTAGAAATATATATATGTTTTTCTTAACAGAAAGAAGAGAAAAAGTGGATCTGAATGGAGTTGTAGAGTGCATTAAGTTGCAGATTCATAATATTATGTTTGGGAGAATTAAAGGAAACCAAGAAAAGAATACACCAATCAATCATTACTTAACCCCATCATAAGTATAATTAGAATTTGACCACTTAAGATATATATATCACAAGGACAATTAGAACTTCAACAACTACAAAAAGAAGTAAGCTGAAGTACCACAGCCTGAGGAGGCCATATTGCATCATTTTTCTTTAGTGTAGAAACTGAGATAAGAAAGCACAAAGTAGAAATATTTTCTGAGAAATATAAGTAAAAAATTCAGATAAGACCCAGCATTTGCTTCCTCATCATGATATGAAGAACACCATGATGAGTGGCTTCAAACACACTCAAGTACAGCTCAACTGAGACACCTAAAGTATTGCTGAGTCCCCACTGTAATCTTTTGAGGTAGTGTTCCAGACTGGTGTGCTAAACTAAGACTCCCTGTCTCTTTCAGCTTCAGCTTTCATTTCATGTTACTCTTGCAGCAAAGAGGTGGCCCTCTAATGCTTAGGTTTGCACAGGAAAGATGCAACAAGATAACTTGAAGGTGGTTCAAATCAGGAAATCTTACACTTTCTATCACCCTATGCATGACTCCAAAAGAAGGCAGCAGCAAAGGCAATCTTAAATAACGCCACCAACCGGAGGACTAAAGTCTAAAGTAGGATTGACAGCACACTCAAAGCCACTATAACAGGAAAGGAATAACCAGATGGATCAAATGAATATAATAAAGATGTGTAAGAAACACTGAAAGAATTGATCCCCTCCCTCTTCTAGAGGATCTTTTCTTGGGTTTCCATCAACATTTTGTCCAAGCTTTTGAGAGCATGGCACACCCATTTGTCTTAGGACTGTTTCCTTCGATGGACCCACCAAGCTGATCATTCTTTCAACCTGCAAGTCTCGCTAATGTCGATCAGAAAGACATAGCTTGATCAGTCACAAGGAGGACACAAGAGGGAGGGAGGAAGAGAGAGATTTCACCTCACTATGATAACACAATTCTTGATTCGAAAGAAAATAGTTTATGTACAAATCTTGATGTTCGTGAGATGGTCAAGTCACTCTAATTCACAAGATACGCTAAACCTGGCCGTCTCTCTCGTTCTCTACCTCAAGTAATCATGGAGAAGTGAGCCTAAGAAGAGATCGAGTCCATGACCGTCTGCATGAGCCGTACCTGCGTGGTAAGGAACCTTATGTAGTCCGCTGTCTCCTCCAGCAGTTTGCAGTCGTCCATGCTTGGCCCTCCCGGCACCAACTTGCGAAGAACTTGCGCTTGATCCATGTCCCTCCGCTGGGGTGTCGCAGCCCTAGACAGCCGCCTCGGAAACCGGAGGCGAGCTCGGCTGCGGAGCTTCCGTAGCAAAGCACGGCTCCACGCCCGCCGTGTCCCGGCCGAGTAGGCCATGGACGCATAAGCAGCGCGCCTTATTCTGCGGCTTCGCCCGGCGGAGGAGCTGCTCGTGGACGTCTGCTGTATACGAAAGAGGGCTCTTAGGAAGTGGGACGCCATCATGGTCTTCGATCCGTGAAGGTTTCTATTAGGGTTATCACGGTTTCCAGTCGTAGAGCTCTTCGATTCCATCGCGAGAGAGAGAGAGAGAGAGAGAGAGAGAGATGGATATGGTAAGATGCCCGAAGGAAGGGATGCTTTTAAGGTACGGTTTCTTAGGATCTCTGCTCTTCTGACACACAGAGGGACCTGCTCGATCTCAGGAGGAAAAGATGAGGGCAAACATATCTCTGACACATGCGTCAACATGCAAAGATCTCCTGCAGTAGCATTTCCTATACAACACGCATGGTTGACAAAACACCACACAGTTCATAACTGCGTGACTATAGAGAGAGAAGATGGAAGTGTGGGAATAGGTGGGAAGGGAGTTAATAAAGAGAAAGGAAAGGGACGGTGGGGGATAGAGGCATAGGAATCAAGGCACTTTTGTGGTGGGGGAGGGAAGGGAGGTGGAAATGGAGCAGCAGTAGCAGGAGGAGGCGGTGGTGGTGGTGGTGGTGGTGGGTGGTGGGGACATGGGATGGCAAACCACCACATGAGTGCACATGGATGGAATGACCCACTTGGTGACGAGAACCTTTTCCCCCCTTCGCTTCCTGCCTTCTTCCTGTCTCTTGTCTTCTTCTTCCTCCATCTATCTGCTCCCTTTCGTGATGTGCATGCTGAAACCTAATTCGTCTTAATCTTCTGCTTATGCTATAAACTCATCTACAGTAGTGGAAACCTTTCATGGTTTGCATGATATCAATGTGTCACTAAGATGTGCCTCACACAATGACGTCCCATCAGCTTCATTGTATCCTAAGAGTTGATGGAAGCTGTCATGGAAAAGCATCTCTGGTCCACAATGATCTTTCCCTTTTAATGCATTGCTGGTGCCCAAAATCTTCAATTCGATTCGTGTACTTTTCATGTTCACACATTAATATATACATATACATATATATATATATATCAACAAATCAATAGACAAGGCTTAAGAGCTACAATTAGGGGCATGTCAATGTGAAGGGGAAGCTACTAAATCTCTCTAAATATAAATAGCTACATAAAATCAGAAATATAGCAAAGAATGAAACAATTTTTTGCTGAGATTTCTTCATCTAGGATTTGAGATTTGAAACAATTGAAAAGGAATCAAGTTGACATTTGATTTGTAATTAAAGAGTCTTAGATGGTCGACTAGAAATCCTAATGTTGTACAGGATAACCATTTGTTCACAGTATGAAAATGACAAAAGAATGGTGCACATATTAACTTGAGATATCTTACAAGACTGATATCAATTTGGCAGGGACAGTTGACATGATGAGTACAAGTATCCATATTGGAAGATGGAACATTGCATTTAGCAAGTTGACTATTAAGTTATCTCTTACAATTGCAACCTTATACTTCATAAGGTGGTTTTACCTGCCCATTAAATAACAGCAAGAAATCTCTCTACCAAGGTATGCAATACCGTACCATACCGATGTTTCGAGGATGGCTCGATACGGTACGGTACTAGTGTACTGAGCGGTACACCCTGGTGTACCGAATAATTTTTTTTTATTTTTTTCATTACTGTAACATTGTAGCACTGTAGCAGTACCGGACGGTCCGCATATCAGTGTATCGATACGTATCACCCGTACTGGATGGTACCATTCGGTACTACATACCTTGCTCTCTACAATAGCAATAATAATATTATTATTATATTTTCACAATTATTTATAATCGACTATGTAAGTCTCTTTTTCGGTCTCTCGATCTCTTTTTTGTACCATTAATAATATTTTTTTTTATTTTTTTAATTATAATATTTATATGTCTCCTTAACACATATCCATGATTTTTCTATCGAAATAATACCTTTCTTTCTTTATCTTTATATATATATATTACTTACCCTTCTGAATACAAGAGAAACAAGGAGAGTTCAATCCGACAGAGCTGTTAACTCATTTAGGATAGCTCAACAAAGAGAGGAGCATGGAAATGGCAACTCGGAAAGGGCATCACATGGTTGGGAGCATCGCATGTAGGCAACTAAGCCATGATTGCATTGATCTACATCTTAGTGTGGTACAACCTATGCAACCTAAGTCGACTCACAAATCAATCCATGTATCTCAGAGATGATGGTGATAAGAGAGGACATGTTGCATGCAACTTACATAAACATACATATAATATAGGATATCTCACATGCAGGAGGACTAAGGGTGGCTTAATCAATTTGGGAGACTAATTAAGCTCATCAACCATTACTTATGAGTTCTTGATGACAAGGTATGGATGTATTATAATTAAGGACCAAAAAATTCAAATCAATTTGGTCCAAGGTGGGTATCATCTCACATGGCTTGGGATGGACGTATGACCTAACTCAGATTGTATCATAATGCCAAGATGGATGGTCTTTAGTGCTTGTATGATTTGATCACTCACCTTAGACAAATCCACGTGTATGTGACACATTACCAGATGGCTCCATCACCATGCATGTCGAAATTAAATAGATTGATAGATACTTTCATAAACAATCACAATATATATATATATATATATATATATATATATATATAT